GCTTCCCCCGACCCCCTCGCCTCAGTATATTGTGTTTTCCCCTCCGCCGTTTAAAATACAAAACTCCCTTTGTTTTCACTGTTTATTCTCAGATTCTTCGGCGGGGGGGGATTATATCATTCGTCATCCCTCGCGAAGATTAAACGAGGGAAACCTGACGTCGTTCTCAAAAATCCGTGCAGCAAGACAAATCGTTCGGAAGGGAGTGATGGCTCGCAGGCTCTGCCTGCTCCCGAAAAGTCTTTCCAATCAGTTAATGTTGCTTCGCAATATTAATGATAGAAAATCGGCAGACTTGCTTTCATTGGCTGGGGCGTTTTCCTTGATGCATCACACACTCTCCGATCAGCTCGGGGCATTTCGGGCTGTATTTTGTTCATTTACATCCCATATATGCCCCCGTTAAAAAGGGCAGAGAGGAAAAGAAATATTTCCTTCGAGATGCCAACGCCTCCATCCTTAAATACTTCCATTTTTACCCTAAATCATCTGTCCTGGAAGGGCATCTGTTGCAGTTGTACATCCCCCGAGGACGGGTTTTATAAACTTCGTACCCTTTTTTTTTTGAGACAGCAGCGATTTCCAGGGCGGTGACTGAAATCCATTTCTCCTCGCCAGCTTGTTTAGACACCAAAACTAATAGTGCGATTATTATTCCTGAATGATATCATGGTAACGCAGAAAGATAAGGATGGCCTGATATGGAAACATGAAAATTATATTCTTGGAGATAGTTCATTTGGAGTAACTTTAAATTAGATGAGATCATGTAGCCTGAGATCTAATATCAGCATAAACAGAGCTGTATTTCTGCCTTCATCTTCCTCCTCCTCCACCTCGCAGGAATCACGGTCGGGCTTGCAGTGCTGCAATTGCCAAAAGTGAGAGGCAAAGAGCATGGCACCTATAATTTGAAAATACCCCCGATCCAAACTTTTAGTTGCTGGAAAATAATGGATCTTTAAAGAAAGTTTTTTTATGCTTCAGGCGCTAGGAAAGGGAGAGGATTTTTAATTGATTTTTAATTGAAGGGCCCACGTTTTGGAAAGACTTTCAGGTCCCTGGAGCTTTTCGGAGACACTGAGTACACCAGTCTTTCTTGTTGTTCTGCGTGACCAGGTGAGATTCCCACCAACAGCAATGCTTTTTACAAATACATAGAATTAGCTCAGTGCGCAGGCTGATTATTTTGACACTTTTCCTTCATATTTGGTCATTATACATGCCAGTGCATACATACATTTCTTTATGTATGATGTGCCACATATTAAAAAAAGACCCATTTAATCACATGCCATCAAATAATACTTTCTGAGAGAGAGATATATATGTAAAAGATATGCACACACCAGCTCATACAAGCACAGAGCACTGATGCATTCAGAGACACTGTGCAGAACAGACTACATACCTATGGGTTATCCTCTGTGCATGTTTGCAGTATTTCTTGCTCAGTCCCCCCCCAACCCTGAGAAAAGCATTCATGCAACTACAGCTACAAATAGTTGCACCGATACAGCCTTCTGCACAGAGAGATTTAATAGAGCAGGTCACTACCCTGTACCTACATGACAGAAGAGGGTAGCAGTGATGGATGTGGCAGATTGGATCATCCCACGATCTGGTTTGCCCAGCATCTGCTTTCTCACACTGGACAACAAGAGATGCTTCCTGGGAAGGCACCACACTGTGGGAGAGACTTGTAGAATAACTTGCTACAAAAATAAAGATTCCTCTCAGCCCCCATTAATTAGGACCTGGTTTATGCTCTCAAGCTGAGGTTTACAGCCCTTTCAAAACTTAATTTTTGTTCTGCTCGTTTTACCTGCATGATGTCCTATAAAAGCCCCATCCTTTAAGACAGTGCTATCTGCATTTATGGAACTAACTTCTCACAGGTGATCTGTTCATTATTCTTTTGCAGCATTCATTTTTTTTGTAGTCTGCTGTTAATGAGGAAGGTGATGTATATTTTTGCACAGGGGTATTTCCCTCCCGGCTCAGGCTTCCTGCAGGTGATAACCCTGCAGTGTGGCCAGTCACCCTGAGGAGCCACCAATGCTGGGAAACCTGTCCCCTGCTGACACCGTGGGTAGGTCCAGTGAGTTTTACTGTTGCAGGTCTTCCCACAGCCCCTGGGGTCGGGCCAGTGGGGGTGAAGGTCCTGATTAGTGAGCCAGCAGGACTGCCTTACAGCATTATGTTGTGCCCTGAATTATAGCAGCCTTCCCAGATGATAAAATTAGGCATAGTTCTCTGTGTGTGTTGGTGTGGAAGTGCTGCATTGAGAAATACTGACTGCAGCCAGATCAGCAGCCACTTGGCTTGACATTGCTGTCACTACGAAGTGCATAACGCTGGGGCAGAGAGCACCAAAACTGCCCACGCAGAGTCAGACAGTAGCCTGGGCTCCATGGGACCCACAAAGGGTCTCTGGGTACAACCCCTGCAAGAGACTCCTGGCCACGTCTGTGCCACCTCCTGGCCTTTTGTTAGCAACATTAGTTGT